TTAAAATCTGAGATTTTAGAAACTTTTGTCAATTTTTTTTAAAATTTACAAGGAACTTTTTCTTAACTTTTTATCAATGTCTAATAATTACTTTACAAATAAGATAAGAAATATTCAAATAAATGCCATGAAAAAAAATTCTATGAGCAAACAATTTTCTTATCAAACTGATATTGTTTGGTAAGATGAATTAGACAGATTTTCAACCAATTCTGCAATTCCAATTTGGTATGGGAGAAGGAAGTTTAAATTTCATTACAGTTGACTACAAGGGAACTTAGTCAATCATATTATATCAGTCTTTCAGAGGATAGACAGGTTTTTATGCCCCTGTAAAAGTAGATTTGGGGGCATCTAGTTTTTGGTCTTTCCCTCAATTTGTCTGCAATTGCCAGACTATGCATCGTATCACTGAAGACTTGAAAATGTCCTTCTTATGTAAGATTTCAGAGGAAATACATGTATATCACTTAGGGAATCAGATTGTAGATTAGAGAATTTCTTCAATTGATAAGGAAACCTGCAGTTGAAATAATATTTTGTCATTTCAGGATTTTATTTGATCCACATGGATGAGTTTATTGACACTTTATTGAGAGAGGAGCGTGTTTGTGACATCATCCTTCCCAGAATCCAAGTAAGAAACCAAGTATTTAATGGAGTTATGCTTGTTTGCTACTCCATAATAAGTTTTTATTAAGTGATAGAATATTTCTACAATTTTAATATTTGAGAATTTTTTGTTCACTTCCTAATGAAACAATTTTACATGTCCTCAAATTCAAAAGTTGTGTTAAGCCCTTGTATAAGAAAACAGGAATAGATTAATAAGCATGGTAAGGTCAGAGATAAGGTTTATTAATAATTATGTTCCCTGCTAATATTTCTGAAAAGGTGGGTTAATACAATTGTTTTAATCAGATAAAAAATACTTACATCCTTATGATGCATTAAGATATGATTAAGGTAATACCAGATTCAGCTGTTGTTAAACTAAGGTCAAGCTTATGTTATGCCCCACTGTAGGGATCCCAGTTATCTGACCTACATTTTCAGGATGATTGACCAGGTTAAAGTTTTTGGGGCAGGTCCATTTCCAAGTAACTTGTAACAAGTCTTACTTGAACCAAACTTGTATGGATATTGATCCATTCCACTATTAACTAGAAAAGAATTTTCTTACTTATAGATATTTTCAAGGTCAACTAGGTAGTAAGTGTCGATTTTATACCAGATATTACAATTCCATGTTTTTAACTCTATAGAAAACATTAAGTAGCTTCATGCATAGTTCAGCTAAGAAAATGCATACTGATCTGTATGCATCACTCAAAATAGATATAGCACTAATTAAAGCCTACTGAAACATGTATAACAGGTTTTGTTCATACCATTGATTGCTGAGCTCTCTTTGTTACAGAAGCGCCATGTTTTGGAGGAGAACAATGAGCTGGAGAGTCGAGTCAGTGCCCTCGATGAGGACCTCGAGGACATGGACACAGACGAGGAGGCCATGGTACAATAATCTTACTGTCTCTTAAATAATACCAATTACATAAGATACTCATATGTGTTTTTACAGATACAAGTTACTGTTCAACCTTAAATCTTACCCACTGTAACTGAGTTACTAAACAGAATGCTCTGCAGTATATTTTGAACTACACAAATATAGTACCGAAAGTTTTCTAAAATTGAATGATTTTATCTCAGATCTACAAAACCAGCAAAAGATTTCATATCTGTCAAAATGAATTAGTAAGTTATAAATGGATTCCTTGGTGAAGACTTAGTAGATGAGGTAGTGTTTTTTTATGTCCCAGGAAAGAAGCCCCTCACCTGTTGACAGAAGACATGGAGATAGAGGGTCACCTCCTAGGCACCGCCGCTCACCTTCACCCAGAAACAGGTACCAGGGTATTTTCTTATGTAGTTATTTATAGGAAAAGTGTTATTGGCACAAGTTCCTTGTTGTTCCTTATCTTAACTTAAAAATTTTAATCATCCATTTATAGGGATAGGGACAGGAGGAAGAGGTCAAGGTCAAGAGACCGGGAAAAGAGGAAGAGGTCAAGGTCACCAACAGGTAAGGTTTTCTTCTATTCTTATTTTTTGACAGATGTACATAACCATTACCTTGCAAGATGTTATGACTCATTACTGATACTTTTTTCTTGAATTTCATGTGAGCATTAATAATGCTACATTTTTAAGATTTGCCATTCCCACCCATTATTGATACATACACTGTCTTTCTTTGAGTTACATCATAAATTGCTGCATTGCAGGTTCAGCCATAGATAGTTTTTAGCCAAAATGTATCCAAGTACTAGTAACATTTACTATTTTGTTGGGGTAACAAGTTTGTTATTTTGTAAGGATAATGAGTTTGTAGCGGAAATGACAATATAAAAATATAGTGGTAATGTAATGCATACCCATTATAAGCATTTTACATGCTAAAATTTAGTACTTGTGTAAATATTAAAGATAAAATTTTAGTATTTTATTTATTTTGTTTTTCAGATAAAAGACACAGAGATGAAGAGTAAGTTGTTTTGTTCAAATTTAAAATGCTGGTCTGCAAAGGCACAAATTTTTCCCCCTTTATGATATTTTCTTATGCAGTGCCAATTTGATACACTGTGCACTGAGTAACAAATTCTTAAGGAGTAATCATCTTTAGAATCTAAACTTTATTAGTAAAGTCAAGAATAATTAAAAATTAATTCACACCCCTGCAAAGTCTGTTTTGAAGTTGAACTGTGCCAAGGTGATGTTATCATTCACTTAAAGATGGACCTCATTTATTAATACATCAGTTACCAAATTCTTTATAATAAGCAAGTGCTGTAATGGTTGAACTGGGGATATTGGCCTGGATAAATCAGTGGTTAATGTACCTTACCAGTGATGTAGGGTCAAGGGTTTGATTCCAGATCCAGCAATACATTTTCTCTCCCATCATAATACTTAAAAGAAATATCAACAAACTTTTAGCTCACCTGAGCCGAAGGCTCAAGTGAGCTTTTCTGATCAAAATTTGTCTGTCGTTGTCATAAACTTTTCACATTTTCATCTTCTTCTCAAGATCCGCTGGGCCAATTTCAACCAAACTTGCCACAATGTATCCTTGGGTGAAGGGGATTCAAGTTTGTTTAAATGAAGGGCCTTGCCCTTTTCCAAGGGGAGATAATTATGAATTAGAGAAAAATTAATGGCATGTTTTAAAAATCTTCTTCTCAAGAACCACTTGGCCAGGAAAGATGAAACTCATATGGATTCATCCTCAGGTAGTGTAGATTCAAGTTTGTTCAAATCATGACCCCCCGGGGGTAGGGTGGGGCCAAAATGGCCAATCAAAGTTTTACATAGGAATATATAGGAAAAATCTTTAAAAATCTTCTTTTCCTGAACCACTGGGCCAGGAAAGATGAAACTCATATGGAATCATCCTCAGGTAGTGTAGATTCAAATTTGTTCAAATCATGACCCACGGGGGTAGGGTGTGGCCAAAATGGCTGATCAAAATTTAACATAGGAATATATAGGGCAACCTTTTAAAATCTTCTTTTCAAGTATTTCAAAGCCATGATTAGTAATATTTATATGGAATCATCCTCAGGTAGTGTAGATTCTAGTTTGTTTAAATTATGATCCCATGGGGGGTTAAAATTCAAGCCCCCCCCCCCCCAACCTCAGTAAACTTTCAGTTCTGATCTGATATGTGCTTTTTCCTAGCCGATGTGCTCAGGTGAGCGCTGTGGCCCCTGGGCCTCTTGTTAGTTACATGATTGTGAACCACAGGTATTTTACATTAATATTTGTCTTATATTTTAGGCAGCTTAAAAAAAATCAGATTGAGCTATGATGTATCACAGATCATATCCTTACCCCAGTTCAACAATTTCTGTAATTAGGGCCCATGCTGACTAGTCTGGTTTTATTTAACTTTTACTACCAAGAATGAAACTTAAAGATGCTATATGAAAATAAGAAATATCTTTCATTATATATTTTTAGTCGGAAGAAAAGCAAGAAGCATCGTCATGAGCACAAGAGCCGAGACAAAGATCGGGACCGAGAGAAACGTCACCATCGCAGTAGTCGTCATCACAAGGATGACAAGGATAGGGACAGAGACAAAGATAAGGGCGGGTCCAGGTCTGAATCAAAGGCAGAGCTTAGTATAGCAGAGACCAATGAACTCAGAGCATCCCTGGGACTACCACCCCTGAAATAACATGGAGTTTGTTGCTTTATGCCATGTTGTGTGAATTCAGAGAACTATGTTATAGGAAACAAAACTTTGTTTAATAGAAAGCAGATCACCTTTTCATTGTCATGGAACAATTTAATTTTAAATAACATGTCTGAAATATTGAACTTCATAGGTTTTAACTGAAATAAAACAAGCATCAAAATAATGGGAAACAATGTTTATCTTGTTGAATCATAAATATCAGTAACAAAAATGAAATGATTGCAAGAACTAGCGTTGTTGGATGCATTCGAAATATCAACAACCATATAATAACAACTTCTCACATGAATACTGAACCTTTTGGCTTATTATCTTGATACAGGTGCTCTACATTGATATGATAACACTTATATGCAATTGAAATTACACAAAGGTGAATGCCGGTAATTACGATAAATATTATGGTAGCAAGACCAAAACTGCTACTACAACTACACCAATATGTTATTTTCACAAAATTTTAATTTGTGTCCAAAGTTTGTTGTTGTTTTTTTAACAGAACAAACTCCTCCTTGTTCTGATGTAAGAAAGACCAAAGATGAAGGGAACTCCAATGGTTCACCTTCTTTTTCTTGTCACAAATTTTTTTTCTGTAGATTGGCACAAAATGCATGTGCTGATTGGGGGGGGGCTTTCCACTCAAAGTAATTTTGTCAGTTGCACTGAGGAAAGCTGATTTGTCAGTTACACTGAGACAGAGGGGAGGATCTAACAAGAAGCCGTGGTGTGTTAGGACACAGGACTGGGAGGAGGTTGATGCAGTTTTTTAAGTTCCTGTTTGAGGTTTTGTGCCATTCTCTCTAATCTCTTATTACCATGTTTCTTTACCCAGCCATCCACTTCCTGAAATGATATACAGAGAATTACTTTGTGACATGTACATAAACATTTTACATGTATTCCCAAGTCAAGGTATTTTTAACATAATCTTCATTATGTTTACCTCAAGAATCCTATGTTTTTTCCAGAAGAAATGATTTTTTATGACATCTGCAAATTCTGGTGGTGGATACTGAAGTTGGCTGATCATTGCATACTTGATATTATTGTAACACACATCTGCAGATAAAAATGTTTTATTTCAAAATATTGTAATTTTTAAAAAACTTAGAATCCTGCAGTGGTTTATAAAAAGTTGAACTGACAATGTTTTCTTTGACCTACCTTCGTTATAATCATCACTGTGCTTCCTCCCAGCATCAGTTCCAATCTCCTGCTCAAATCCAGGCTCATTGAAATACGGGTCAGGGACTAAATTTTGTGCAACAGTTTACGAGGAGTTGTGCAACAAACTGCACCTGTATGAAGATACAAAATAAGAAATGTCAAATAATTTTGCATATCAAAAATCCATGATGAACAGTATATTGTTTATTTATAGTAGATCTTGAAGTCTGGAAATGATTAATGTAAAATCACATATTTTCGAGGAGTCAAATTTTCATGGTTTGAGGAAAATATATTGGTTCATTTGGATTTGATTTCATGGTTGAAGAAATGTTTAGTAGTAGTACACATATATGTGAAAAATTGTATTTCGTGGTCAGGGACATAAACTGGATGGAGACAAGCACCTGTTAGATAAAAATTTTCAATATCAAAACAACAGCAAATAGAAAACTAAATTTGATTTCATTAGTAAGTTTTATGCTTTGATGGGAGCATTGAATTCAATACCTGTAACAGAGTGGAGGTCTTTTCATTCCACTGCTCCCCCTTCTGTCCCTCCCAGGTACCCAGTAAGGACAGACAAACTTTACCACACCTGTATGAAAGTACCGGTAAAAGTGGAAAAATGAAGATGAATAAGAACAATTTTCTGAGAAGGCAATTTTTAATATTAAATAAATTACAACAGTGTACATTGTTCAAAATGTTATTTCGTAAAGTTTGGGATTTATCTTAAGGTAGAATGCCACACCAACTTTTTATTTTATAGATCTTTGAGCCCTCCTTTTTAAACAATGGTTTCAGCATTGAAAGGCCAATATTAGCTCTTAATTATTTTATATGAATTTTTTTGTATTTTATCAAAGAAAATGAAAAAAATTATTTACATCCAAATTAGATGCTTCCTTGTAAAAATTTTGCTGTAAATGAATGGCACATGAATACCTAATAAAATATTAAAGAAAGTCTGGTTAGACTTTTTAATTTTTTTTATAAAAAATTATTTATGAAAATAAAACACATTATTTGTGAAAATTTTTTAAACCTATGGTTAAAAACACCATAAAACTAGTATATACTAAGGAAACATGTTTTAATTATTTTTAAAAGAAATTCTCTGAAACGAAATTGAGAAATTTTAGAAAAATTAATTTTTTTAATATTTGGACCTAACCTCTACCAAAATTGTGAATTTATCCCGAGGGTCAAAATTAACACAAAATCAATAAAATGCTAATTTATTGCCTCTTCATGTATTTACAATGAAGAAATCTTTGAATTGTCAAGTTCTGTAATGTTTTAACTCTTATTACACCTAATCAGACTAGTGTTCGTAGGAAAATGTTATTTATTTCCAATAATTGTACAATTATGGTCGGGATTGGTTTAATTTTGATCGGGATTGGCCAAAATTAAAAAAAATTAATTTCTCTAAAATTTGGCTATTTCGTTTCAATTTCTTTTATAAATATGATTAATGTACATGTTATGATTGTGGCTGGTTTTTAGCCTCTTTTAACCACAAATTAAAAAATTATTCACAAATTATGTGTTTTATTTTCATAAATATTTTTTTATATAAAAAAAATTAAAAATTCTTTGAAAACTTCTTCTTTGCATATTTTATTAAATTCATGTGATGCATTCATTTACAGCAAAATTTTTGCCAAAATTCTAATTTGGATGTAAATAATTTTTTTTGGGGCCCTATTTTATATAGTGAAAAAATACAAAAAATTCATATAAAATAATTCTCTGCTCCTAGGTTTAAAAAAAACAGGTTAACCGTCGAACGTTACGAGTATCAAATATTAAAACTGCTATTCGGTTACTCAGATAAAATAAATTCTACATTGTGAAGACATAGAATATGAATGTTTCATAATTTATAAATGTATACGAACCTCCACATTTCCCTAATTTTAGGTACCGTTAGACTTGATCTAGTGCATGGTTGTAGTGAATCAAATTGTTTTGATTAGTTTTCACAGTTTATATAATTGATAGCTTTGATTGCTTGGGGTATACATATTTTGAAGGCCTGTGTTATAATTACCTCATTTGATAATTTAACGAGATGCCACCTCAGACATAATAAGCTTGGAGTTGTGACAAAAGAACAGCTGATTCAAAATCTGTTAAATCACCTAAGCTTAAATTATTCGGAAACCAGCGATTTACTGGACACTCCACATATTAACTATTAATTATGGAGTATATAAATAATTATTCTCCTTGATTGCGACATATTTCGGGGGCTGAAAAAGAAAGTGTAAAATGGTGATTGACGATGATGTATTTATTTGTCTTTGTGTGTCGAAATCCCTATTAATTTTCTTTATTTTAAAATCGTAAATCTTTGACGATATCGTATATGTGTATTGTAAATATAATATCCCTATACAGTATATTTGTGCAGTACTATTACCGATAAGTATAAAATAAGATAAATAATAGATATTGATACTTTTACCAAAAATCATCCGAGTAACCGGGTACTCGATCGGAAGATGAAGCGAGTAACCGGTTACTAAAATTCGTCCGATTTGCCAACACTAATTAAGAGCTAATGTCGGCCTTTCACTGCTGAAACCATTGTTTAAAAAGGTTGACTCAGAGATCTATAAAATAAAAAGTTGGTGTGGCATTCCTCCTTAAGATAAAGTTATGGGACTGAATTACATGCAACTCCTATGTACAAATTAAGGTAATAGAAGTACCCCTGGTAATGAGAGAAAAATGATCAAAATGCATCAGAGTGAAAATAAAGCACATACGCATACAAGTTGGGATTGAATCGAACTTTGCCCCCTCCTGTGGTCTGTAGGTTGACGTGGGGTGGGATTTGAGGATACATGTGTGGGAAGTGAATGTCAAATATAAAACAACCTCCGGAATACGGTGTTCCTTCAGGTCTGAAATAGAAAAAGTGGGCTGTCTTTCATTGGAAAAATCAAAATATTAGAAGGAATTATGGAAGAGAAATACACCTCCAAAAAGCAAAAGAGTTAATACTGCTTATAACCTACCCTGTAATTAATGCTTTCATCAAAGTTAATTTGTCATCATCCTGAAAAGAGAGGGATCATATTCAGGGAAAATCATGAATGACATGTATTAAATGTCAAATATTTTTTTGTACTATTACATGTACATTATCAATAAATAGCCATTTTTTGTAATACTCACAGTTCTGACAAATATACTAGAAGATAATTCCAAGGGAAGAGAGGTGGAAAGAGAAGATAACTCTTGGGCAATCCGTAACACCTGAAAAATAGAAGCAAAGAACTTATGGGTAAGTATCACTTAATATTTGATAAACAAAACTTTATTACTGGTAAGTTGATATTCATGTGTGATTATGCATTGTATACATGTATTTGAAATTTGTTTCTTTTTTTTCAAAACTTCTGCCAAGTGCTCTTTGTGGATTAACTGATCATGAGATCAAAATACATGTAATTTGATTTTCTAACCTGTTTCTGTAAGACATTTTGTGTGTGCTTGAAATCTGATGCATAGTTGTGACAGCCTGTACCCTCCACTGGAAAAGAGAATGAGATTTTTAGAAATTAAACATGATCTACCAAGTACTTAGAATAACAAGATGTATTTGTAAAACACTCATAGGCATCAGAACCAGGGGGGCTAAGGGGGGTGGGGCTCAGCCCCCCCCCCCACTTTTTTGCAAAGATAGACTTAGAATAGGCATTGAACATTTAGGCGTAGGTTTAGCCCCCCTCCCCACTTTCCTCAGACACATTGCAGTGCAAGTAAAAAATGTGGAAAGTGGTAGTTATTGGAAAAAAAAGTAGGTACTAAAAGAAGAGAGGTGGAACCTACTACACCACCCCCCCCCCCCCCCCTTCCCCACCCCCTGATATATGGTTATCGCGTTTGAACATATTTTTCTTGTAGGTCTTAAAAAAATTCTCTTACACTTAGCCCCCCCCCCCCGAAACTTTTAATATGCTTCTGACACCAATGACACTGATGCCTCTGTATGACACCTCATGGCAAAGGTTCAAGTTTTACAAATGCAAGTCAACTTCCAAGATGGAGGCCAAGAGGACGAAAAGTATTTGTACCCAAAGAAAGGTCTTGTCACAAGAAATATACAAATGAAGCCATAGCTTCAACCAATTAAAGTCATGAGCAAGTTTTTGCAGATGGACAGGGCAAAAAAATAGCCTCCACATCTTGAATTATTGGGCCAAAAATTATCAGAGAGAAAATTTTACTTACAAGAAAATGATGCTGTTGCCAACTGTAAAGGCTGCAATGCTCGTTTATATTGTACTTCAGTGACTTGTGCCTGCTACAATGTATATTAATCAACATTTAGAGTTTGCATGAATAATACAGAATAATCAATTAAATGAAAATGATCAAGAATACATGTACTTCTATACAATGCTATTGAGCATGAAAAATGAAACATTTTAAATATAAACACAATAAGAAATTTCAGCCTTTCCCCCTTCAGTTCTAGATAGTACTTTTACAGTAAACATAATATTGTATTCCTTGTTAATTGCACAAATCAGGAGCAGTCAAGTCTCTTTACTTGTTCAGTTGTCAAGGCACCTCTTAAATAATTGTGTTTTCCTCAGTCAAGACTTTTTTATTTCAGGGAGTTTTCCCCTATTCAACCTTTTCTTGTTTAGGAAATATTTTACCTGTTCAGTTGAAACCTCCTCTTGTTTAGGGGAATTTTTGTCACTCTCTAGTGATGATTGACTAGATGTCGTGGAGCTGTTAGATAATAATCCATCCAGTTCCAGCATACCTGTACAACAGATTGTCAACATTAAGTGTAAAGTTACACCTATAACAAGTCCATTTCTTTGTTCATAGAATATAAGCTGATTTAAATTCAATTGCAAGAAAATAGCTACTTACCTTTTACCAGATTAAAGAGAACTGCAAATTCTCTGTAAAAAAAAACAGAAAAAAAATAATTAAATACAGTTAAAAAGAAAAATAAACATGATTTTCTTGATGATCATATTCACAAATTGGTTAATCTCTGCATAATAACACATTTTAACATTACTAATGATACCTAGCCAATTTTTCTTCAGCCATTTCTGACTCTGAAGATGGAGGGGAACTGAGCGTGCTCGGTGAACTTCGACATCTGGTGAAACATTTGGGAAACAAATTGAAAGAGCTTGTGGTAGTCTCGTTCTCTGGGGGTTTGGGAGGCTGTGCCTTGGGTACGCTTCCGTTCCCGGCTTTGTTCAGGTGTCGCAGCATGATGGAGGCGCGCTGCTCGAGCTGAGATAACAGCTGGTATACAGACATCTCCTGATTGGGTAATGCACACAACAAAGGCAGAAACTGTCTCTGACGGGCTGTAATGTTAAGATAACTAAATGTGTTTAAAATTCAATAGTTATCACTGTTTGTAATTTACAGTTTAAATAAAACTTTTTTTTTGTTAAAAGTGAATGAAAACGATACACTTTAAATTGAGTGTATAGTAAAACTTATCTTATTCAGATGTTAAACCTCCTGAAATCTTTTTTATACCATGATGAAAATATTAGTTCTTTCAGGAAATTTATTTGCTTTAAATGTCTACTCCAGATGTTGTCAACTAAATCTGCAGACAAAATTCTCTAGAACCTGTGTTGTTTGGATTGGACAAGTTTCATTTCATTGTATTACGGTACTAAACTTACCTAATTCTTTAACGATATCAACTATAACTTTATACACCTGAAAAAATACAAATGTAAATTTAAGTGTGTAAATGTGTTGCATCATTATCTTATTTCTTTACTTTATTATCTTTCAACATGCAACATGCAAACAAACCTCTGAATGCCTGCAAATCTCCAAGAATGAATCTGCCATTAGATATTGCTGTAAAAGGAGAGAACACTATAAATACCCCCTTCAAATTGTTTTAAACTTAATTCACTGTCAAATGTACATACACATTCTAATCAGTATTGATAACATAATTCAATTTATACCTCAATGAATGGTATAAGGGCGGATCCTTCTAAGACAGTGTACATATCATAAACTGGATCCACTCCTTGTCCTGTGTCTTGGATCCCTGGGTCTTTCAAACTGTCTCGGGGGCGAGGCTTCAGCTGTGGTGCATGCTGGGAGTACAACAATTTTAACTCTTCCAGGATTTGGTGAAGTACACTCTCAATCTAAAGACAAAATACATGTTGATATACAGTGTAACTATAGAAAGTCTGAATATTAGGCAAAAAAATGTTCATGATCACAATCAGCTGTAAAAATACAATAATTAAACCAGCATATGAAGTCTTTATCTCGTAAAGTTCTCAGTTTATAGGAAGGATAATCATACAAAAAAATTCAAGTTAGATCACAACTGAATAAGCTTTTAAAAGTACAAGAATTGAAATGTCTACTGGAGTTCAAAAGGGGAAGATAAGAATTTACACACAAAAGCATACCTTATTGTCCTTTTCCTTCTGAGCAGCAAGATATGCATTTATATCCCACTCTGAAAAATAACACAAATCTTTCTGACATGTAAAATTACTTTACATGAACAAAAAAAAAAATTCCATAGATCATGACTTTTATTAAATCAGAAATAAAATGTTACTTTAAAATATGGTTTAAACATCATGCTGAAAAATACTGTGAAAACACAAATTTTCGTGGGGGTTTAATTTTCGTTGTTTTCGTGGTATGAAGAAACCCACTATCATGTCCACCATGAAATGTAGAATGTTACATACATAACTACCCAACAATTCTTCATCCATGAATTCAAGTCCCTACGAACCAAGAGATTTTACTCAAACCACGAAAATTTGACCCCACGAAAATATGTGATTTTACAGTATAGTTGAATATATAGTAATACATGTATCATGTTTTCTTGACAAGGAAAGTTACATTACAGGTGAGCTTTTACCTGGTCTGTTGTGATGTCCATATCCTGTACCTCTAGCCCAGTACTCTCTACTGAATTCCTGTCTTGACTTACTCTGTCAGAAAACATAACATAGATAAAATATTGAACTTAACAGCACAGGTTGCAAGTAAATATAACACATGTTCAGCTTCAGTAAATTAAGCACGAGGTAAGTGTCAGTAAATGCAAATATATTTTTACTGAATATGTACATTTGAATAAAGCTCATACATGTATTAATTTAGTTAAAATTTGCAGGAATGAACTATTAGATTTGACTTTCTTAAATATGCTCATCTCACATATACAGAATGTAAAACCCTAAACTTAGAAGCCTTTACTAGACTTACTGGTGTAGGTAGAGACTTGATGGCTGCCATTTTGTCCACATCCATCTGGAATCTCAAATTCACTCGAGGAACCACTTCACTGACCTAAAGCATATCAATTCCTTCTATGTCTAAATTTCATGTCCTTGAATTAATTCACATGTATAAAACCCCTAATGATGTATGATAGAAACAATATCTCATGATACAATACAAACTTTTGTAATTTTTAGCATCTTATCCTCATAAAGCAGTAGTCAGTTTGATCCCCCCCCAAATTCCCTACATACCAAAGCTAGAGTAAGCAGGTGATGCTCCATCTCTAGGTATGCTCCATGAGGATATTTCTGTACATCATTTCTCTCACTTTCTACCTCCAGCCTACATAGTACAAAATATAAAGTAATAATGAAGCAAGGTTAGAAATATGACTAAAATCTAGAGTGTAAAGGATGTATAGAGTCCAGTGTTCCAAACACCAATTGAAAGTTATAAAACAGATCCTGAAGATGGATACCATAATTCGTTATTCACATGTATTTATGGTGATTCTGACTGGAATGATTACCTTATCATAGAGTCATATTTTGTCTCTAATGTGCACCTGGTAATATGAAATACACTTTTACAATAGAAAATTTCATTCTACTTCGGGTAAGGGTACCATTGTATCTGATTTATTGTATGTCTAGCAATGCTTATAAAAATACATGTATGTAAAAATCATCAGATAGAGTAATGATAAAGATACTATCAAATGTTTTGTAAGCATGCTATACCTTGCCCACTGTTGTAAGAAAGACTTGATCTCCAATATAACGCTCTGCATGTCTTTAGTTGGGGACCAGTAGGACAGTTTTAACAGCTCCATATTGGTCACTCTTTGCATCATAAAGCCCTAAAAACATCACCATTATCACTTAATGTTCCTATGTTTAACACGACAAGACATAATCAATGCCTTTATACCCATCATAAATCTAGTTTAGCTAAATTAAAAATAAAAGTACTTCTAGTTACTTTTTCTCCTTCAGAGTTCACATTTGTGTCCTAGCTGAGTTCTCTTTTTTTTCATTTTAGTTTAAAAGAATTGTTTTTCTTGACATGAATGTATCAATAAGTACAACTTGTATCAAGAAATACTAGAACTTACTGATAGAAAAAACTCAAAAACAAAACAAAGTAGCATAGAAAAGAGTCAAGGTCATTGTAAGTTGACTTGTAGAATGACTCACCTGTAGTCTTGGTCTCATAACTTTTACAAGTGGTGGATAAAATGGATAAAGATCAATCTGGAACATCTGTAAAAAGTAACGGACAGTGTGTCCATATCATTGTTCATCCACAGTACATGTACCGGTATATAAACTAGTATTAACCAAAACCAGCCTTTCTTCCAAAATTACAATCTTTCCTTAATGACCTCAAAATCTGTAAATCTATGCTGAATAGAATACCTAACTGAAGCTGGCTCTACACAGACAGTGTCATTTTAAACTGTTATATTCATTGTCACAAAAATCATTCATTTTACTGTCAAACACTCACTTGAAGATTGGGAGAATAATTTGATTAGACAACTTTGACAAACTGTATTTTATTAAATAGAGATCTAGCTAGATACACATACCGTTTTTATCTCAGCAATGCACGGTGTATGTACATGTATGTATACTTACCATTTCAAGTTCAATGTAGTTATAGCCAAAGTTCTTCTCAATAACACTCAAATCTTGACTCAGCTCACTAGTTAAAGGTAAAAGTATTTTATCAATTCATACTACACTGTAATTCCATCTAGATTTATATGACAACAATAGATAATTTATTCATACTGACCTTTCTGGGTCAAAGTTAAATATCTTGACCTGCCAGTGATATATGTTGTCATCTATAGGTTCAGCTGTGAATCCAATTTGCTACAATGGAAAATCATGACAGATTTAAATTCAAGCCTTAATATTATTTTGAGGAAATATGCATAAAAAAAGATAATGAATATAACAAAGATATTTTCTCTAACATAAAAAGAATTCATCCACCATTTCCTAATCATTCATTTAAATGCAAATAGTAAAAAAAAAACTTGCTCCATACAAGTCCCTGCAGACAGATATTATATTACTTTGATGACAATTTATACCACAGTTAATTTTTAAGTTTATAGGTGATCTTAATTTTCAATAAGGATGTTTAACCTTTTCATTTTCCATGATTCTGACAAGGTCATTAGTGAGAATTCCTGCCGCTCCAGAACTGGTAAACACAGGGGTGACGGAAGGGGTGGCCGCAACTGTAACAGGAAAGTATAGGAGTTGAATCAATAATAATTACTTTAAAAAATGATAAAGGGCAATAAACAGTTGTTACAAGTATATAAAGCTGAGCATGAAGTGGATTTTAAAAGAATTGGCTACTTGGTGAAATTTCCTTTTTTTTTAACTTCTTTACCTGCTCCAAGGGGGTGTGGATCACTTGTCATTTTTAAGGATTCCCTTAATTGGGCTTCCTTCTGTGCCCATCGTTTCTGTTTACAGATAAAAGTATATAATCATTTTCATCATGTCAACATATCATAATAAAGCTGAGAAACTTATGATTTAAAATATGTACATACCTTTTTGCGAGCAACTTTCAATTCCCATTCTGTTGTAAATGCATCATCATCAGCTAATATGATTGTCTGCAAAATACAAGAATTTTGAACTAACAAACCAATTGCACATTGTAGGTTTTGCTTAAATTGTTTACCATTTTGACAATGACTTTACATATCAGGATGTGAGTGAATTTTTAATTATCTCTTATCTGTTCACTACTAACTATTGAGATCATATGATATTTTTTTTCATTTTCAATTGACTTGTGACTTTGTATTTTTTTTTATCCCATGACTGAATGCAAATTCTTGCACTTACAACTAACTATTAAATGGCATGTAATTTTTATCATTTTGTCTTGGATTTTCTATATTTGGACATGGCTGAATCTGACCTACTACTTACTAATGACGTGACATATTTTTTTCTTCATTTTGACATGTAACATCAGTACGTGACTAAATCTGACCTCTTGTGTTCACTACTAACTAATGCAATGTAATTTTAATCAGTATGTCATGTGACTTTCCATATTTGGGTGTGACTGACCTCTTGCTCCTCCCCCTCATCCTCTTCCTCCTCCTCAAACATGAGCTCCATCTCCTCATCACTCAGCTCCTCCTACAGAATAACAATCCAAAGGCCTTATATTACAGAATTATAATCCAAAGGCCTTATATTACAAAATAACAATACAAAGGCCTTATATTCCTTATATTATTATAGAATAACAATCCAAAGGCATTATTACAGAATAACAATCCAAAGGCCTTATATTCCTTATATTATTACAGAATAAGAATCAAAAGGCATTATATTACAGAATAACCCAAAGGCCTTGTATTACTGAATAACAATCCAGAGGCCTTATATTACAGAATAAGAATCCAAAGGCCTTATATTACATAATAAGAATCCAAAGGCCCCATATTTACAAAATAACAATCCAAAGGCCTCATAGTACAGAATAACAATCCAAAGGCCTTATATTATTTTGCCAGTAGAAGTTATTCAGTTTTAAAAACCATAATGTTATATGTTCTTTAATAAAACAAATATTGTGGATCTCTGGTTTTAGAGAAAGATCACTTACAATATGTTTTAAATTATTTTCACATTTATATTATTTTAATGCATGAATAAACCTTAATCAATAGTTCACTCATCAATTAATACTATTATCATATTTTAGTTGTTGTGCATGTACTTGTTTGAAATGAAGTATCTGCAGTATGCCAATCTAACAAAACTGTCATAATTTGTTACCCTAAAATGAATAATTAATTGAACATAAACAACTTTTTAGGACATTTAAAGTACTTGCCTCCGAGGTTGAAGGACTTTTCTGGGATTTCTGGTGAGTGTATAAAGAAACAGCTCTGAAGAAGAAAAACACAATCATATCTTCAATGAATAAACACATGCCATTTTAAAGTAAATAGTAACCCTTCACTACATGATAGTGCATCAAAATAAAGCCCAATGCACAATTATAAGGCAACACAAAAAAAGAAATTTCTTTGCCCATTATTTAAATTCAAAATTAAGGAATGACAAACACAATATGTCCTGACCATATTCATTGTAAGGCATAAAAAATGTATCACTCTGTTAACAAAACATACTTGTTGAGAACATCTTCTAATGAAAGGGGCTGTGTGGCTTCTTTTAAAATCTGAAATAAAAGGAATTTTTATATACACTATGTTTGCACTTATTTGACTTTAATTAACAGATAGAATGCTTCCTATTCCTCCATCTACCCCACTGAAGTTCAAGGACCCTAATTATAAGAACAACATCACTTTTTCTTTTTTATACATGTAACACCTTTGAAGAAAGTATTGCCCTTCATTTGGGAAAAAAAAAATAATCTCCTTTACCAAAGGATAAGCTATGTCAAGTTTGGATGAAAATTTCCATTAATTCTGGAAAAGATGAAAATATGTAAAGTTTATGAGATCAATGACAACAACAACAAACAAATTTTGATCTGAGAAGCTTTAGGTTAGCTAATAATAAGAAACAGTAGACTCACTATATGTTGAAAACAGAACATCTTATATCCTACAGAAAAAATTACGATCTTACACTGAATGGAAGATCCATCTTAGTGTCAATAAAATATCCTATTGATTACATACTCAGCTATACAGAAATTTTCAAAATTATTTTAATGGTTATACCAATACCTCATTTAGACTTTTGCTCCATGTGCTTATAAGAGAATCAGCCTCAACATAAAAGGCTGTCTCACCATGTGGGTAATCTGAAACAAAAAAACATTTAGTTGATTTACTCATTCTGCATGAAAAGTCATTTAAACTGCATCAATGATTATTTCATACATGTATCAGGCAAAGAAAAATTTATCAAAATATCTCTTTAAATGTCACTTACTTGTTGGTACATGGAGTTTGAATTCATGTTCACTTGCAAGTAGCAGCACTAATACAACACAGCCATTTTGATCAGTGTTGTTCTAGAAAAGAAGAGTGGTTATACTGTAAACCAACTTTTATTCGCGATGACTTTATTTCATGATTTATCAGGGATAAACTAGTTTGCCACGATTAATTTTTGCAATCAATCCTTTTTGTATCTGTTGTTAATGACACATACACTTTAAGGACTGGTTCGCGGCGAGAAAAATTCGCGATGATGAGGCTCTCGCGAATTTCGTGAAAATCTCTCGCACACGAATAAAAGTTGATTTACAGTATGTCAGGAAAGGATGAAATGTCAAACAGTCAATTTTTTGTGAGTAGTAAATGAAAAGTTGACACATTTTCTTGTATTTTCAATCAAATCTGGATTTTAACTAAATCTTAAAGAAGTTTGGATTATTTGGGACTAAATGTCAGTTTACACTTCTTTTGGATAATATAAACAAGAGGCCCATGGGCCACATCGCTCACCTGAGAAGCTTTGACCATTGTGTTCTTTACCAGATTTCCCCCTTGTTATACATAATGCATACCCACCCTACCCCACTGATCATAATTTAGACATTTTGAAATCTACACTACCCCATGATCCTTCCATGGGCACATATGTTTCAGCTTTTTTGGCCCAGTGGTTCCCGAAAGAAGATTTTCAAAGATTTTTCCTATATATTTCTATGTAAAACTTTGATTCCCTATAATGGCCCCGCCCTTCCCCCGGGGGTCATGATTTGAACAATTTAGAATCTACACTACCCCAGAATGCTTCCACATAAGCTTAACTTTTTCTGGCCCAGTGGTTCTTGAGAAGAAGATTTTCAAAGATTTTTCCTATATATTTCTATATAAAACTTTGATTCCCCATTGTGGCCCCGCCCTTAAGTTTCAGCTTTTTTGGCCCAGTGGTTCCCGAGAAGAAGATTTTCAAAGATTTTTCCTATATATTTCTATGTAAAACTTTGATTCCCTATAATGGCCCCGCCCTTCCCCCGGGGGTCATGATTCCTACAATTTAGAATTTACACTACCCCAGAATGCTTCCACATAAGCTTCACTTTTTCTGGCCCAGTGGTTCTTGAGAAGAAGATTTTTCCTATATATTTCTATATAAAACTTTGATTCCCCATTGTGGCCCCGCCCTTCCCCCGGGGGTCATTATTTGAACAATTTAGAATCTACATTATACCAGTATGCTTCCACATAAGTTTCAGCTTTTTTGGCCCAGTGGATCCTGAGAAGAAGATTTTCAAAGATTTTTCCTATATATTTCTATGTAAAACTTTGATACCCCATTGTTGCCCCGCCCTTCCCCCGGGGGTCATGATTTGAACAATTTAGAATCTACACTACACCAGGATGCTTCCACATAAGTTTCAGCTTTTCTGGCCCAGTGGTTCTTGAGAAGAAGATTTTCAAAGATTTTTCCTATATATTTCTATATAAAACTTTGATTCCCCATTGTGGCCCCGCCCTTCCCCCGGGGGTCATTATTTGAACAATTTAGAATCTACATTATATCAGGATGCTTCCACATAAGTTTCAGCTTTTCTGGCCCAGTGGTTCTTGAGAAGAAGATTTTCAAAGATTTTTCCAATATATTTCTATATAAAATTTTGATTCCCCATTGTGGCCCCGCCCTTCCCCCGGGGGTCATTATTTAAACAATTTAGAATATACATTATACCAGGATGCTTCCACATAAGTTTCAGCTTTTCTGGCCCAGTGGTTCTTGAGAAGAAGATTTTCAAAGATTTTTCCAATATATTTCTATATAAAACTTTGATTCCCCATTGTGGCCCCGCCCTTCTCCCGGGGGTCATGATTTGAACAATTTAGAATCTACACTACCCCAGGATGCTTCCACATAAGTTTCAGCTTTACTGGCCCAGTGGTTCTCAGAAGAAGATTTTTTAATGACCCAACCCTATTTTTGTCTTTTCTTAATTATCTCCCCTTGCGAGGGGATATGTCCCTTCATTTTAACAATTTAAATTCCCCTTCACCCAAGGATGCTTTGTACTAAGTTTGGTCAAAATTGGCCCAGTGGTTCTTGAGAAGAAGTCGAAAATGTGAAAAGTTTACAGACAGACAGACGGACAGACAGACGGACGGACAGACAGACGGACAACGGACACAATGTGATCAGAAAAGCTCACTTGAGCCTTCGGCTCAGGTGAGCTAAAAAACTACAACAAAAAATAAACTTGTCTTGATTTAATGGATATATTGCAAACATTTATACATTTATTATATACTTATAGTGAGGGCAGTGAGCATCAATACTGCAATCTCTTAAAGTAATGCCTGCATGGGTGGAGAGATATGTTCTTTGTTAAATTTTGTGTAATGCATATAACATCTGATATCATAGCCTAAATGTTCTAAATGTCTTGTGCAGTTTGAACATGTTGATGTTCTACATCTCTTGTGCAATTTGAACATGTTGAAGAGACAGATCTAGGTTAATAGAAATATACACATCTCCTCTTGTCCTAACAGACACACCGTCAACATTTTTTGTTCAAGTTCATTATTAACAGTGCATGAGAATGACAGTTATCAGTGTCTTCAATTTCTATAGATAGAACGTTCTATCGTTAAAATGATATTGTCATACGGACCCGGTTTAACGATAGAATTCTTTCGTATATTTGTAATGTAGCAAAAGAAACAAGGGCGGTAACTCGTACTCAGTGCATTTACTCAGACAATCTAGAGAGTTCCGAATGTAAACAAGGCAGGTAAATTTGAAGTGAGTTAAAAACGTTGAGAAAATTAATTGGATTTTCGTCTTTAGATGGATTATTTTTTGGGATAAAAGACATAAGCAATCTCCAAAAGGTTTGTTTTGATTAATTTGGTAATTATTTCCAGTGCAAATCCTTTTATATTCTTCAAAATCGTTTCGGAGCGGATCCGCTCCGATTTGCTACATTGCAAGTATATGGGACGTATTCTAACTGTGGTGAGGGCTTGTACTGAGACACAGTTAGATTATTCTAACTACAATTTCTAGTGCATGTATTACAAACAATGTCTTCCCCAACTCAAGTTATTCTCACATTATGTTAAATAATAGCTCTTTAGTAATGTAAAAACATACATTAAATAAATTTAGGCCCTATATAAAAATGTGAATTGTTTAAAAGCAAAAAGAAAAGGATTTCATATAAGGTTTATTTTAAGTCCACAGTCAAAGGAAACAGAACTTACAGTGAAAATAATTTGTATATATTTTCCGTCTAGTCTTTACAATAAATTCTTTTGCTAGCAAAATTTAGATTTAACTACCCGTAACTCAATACTGCATACAATTTCTACTATAACAAGTTCTACAGATGAGATGAGAGGCAAGAAATTATGATATATTACCTCTAGTAAGTAAATCAGGTCTGAATTATCCTTCTCTTGCCATTTTTCAAAGTCTCTATTCAAAAGTTCAATGATTTCAGTATTGGATTCAGCTGTCATATCCATTTTCTTTAATGTTTTTATTCTGCTTACTAAGCTTTGACTCTTTTTTAACAACCGGAAGTTGTAATATTTATTAGTACTTCTTTAACTTCCAAGTATAGAGAGCAATATAAAGGGGAACAACTCCTCTCTCTCTCTCTCTCTCTCTCTGACATGACATTGTGCGTGTTCGGAGGGGGAGGGGGGCTTTAGTGAAACTTAGTGAAAAAAATTAAAGATTGGGCCTTTTTAAAAGTCTCCGTCTCTGAATCGAGGCATAATTTATTTTTATGTGTAACAGTGTTGATGATTACGTAAACATCTTAACAAGATGTGTTTGTGAAACACTGATCAATGCCCCCTTATGACAGCAAATCCTTACAAGCCAGGGGTCCTGAGTCAACATAGCGAAGATAGAACTTTTCTTAAATGCAAATTAAATATGTGGGTATCCAAGGTAGATCTTCTCACAAGATAGTACTGGTTGTGAAGTATGCAAGCCATAGCACCACCAGTTCAAAAGTAATGGCTAAGGATACATTTTTGAAAGGTAGGTCAAAACCCATGGTCAAGGTCAAATTTGTTGGTTTCTAATGAAAGGTCTTGTCACAAGGATTACATAATTATGTGAAATATAAAAGCCCAAGCCCTTTAAAAAGTTATTGCAAAGGTTAAAATTTTTAAAAAGTACGGCAAACTCAAAGGTCAAGATCAAAGCGTCAGAGTTGCCGGTATCCAATGAAAGGTCTTGTCACTGGGTTAAATATTTGAAGTTTGAAAGCCATAGCCTTAATTTTTCAAAAGTTATGGTCAAGGTTTGTTTTTAAGAAGTTGGCCAAGGTCAAAGGGTCAATTTTCTTGAAATCCAATGAAAAGTCTTCTCATAGGAATTACATATTTTAAATATGAAATCCCTAGCCCTTACTGTTCAAAAGTTATGGCCGAGGTTAATTTTTTTTTTTTTTTTTTTTTTTAGGTAAGTAAATCTCCATGTCAAAAGGTCAAAGTTGTTGGTGTCTTGTTACAAAAATACATATGTGAAGTATGATAGTCCTAATATCTACCATTCAAAAGTTATTTGGCCAAAGTAAAAGTTTAGAGTTTTTGTGTAAAAGTGTATCAAACTCCAAGGTCAAGGTTAGAAGGTCAATTTTGGCGGTACCCAAATCGAAGATATATCGTTTAAATTGTCCTATCCGTCCCTCTGTTTGTCTGCAAAAACTTAAATCTTGCACATAACTTTTGATTGGTGGGAGCTACATATGGCTTAAATTCATATTTCACATGTGTATTCCTTGTGACAAGACCTTCCTTTAGGTACCAATAGATTTTACTCCTTGACCTTGGAGTTTGACACAGGTTGGCAAAAGATAATCCAATTTTAACCTTGGCTATAACTTTTGAACAGTTTGGCTATTATTTCATATGTGTATTCATCTTTTCATTGGTGAAAACATTTTTGACCACTTAACCTTGACCTTGGAGTGTGGTCCACTTATTAAAAAAAAATTTACCACAACAGATACTAGTATTTATTCCTTGCGACAAGACCTTCCTTAGTATAGCAACAGGTTTAACCTTGGCCTGGCAGTTTGACCTACTTTCAAAATACTTTTAACCATGGTCATATTTTTAAAACAATCGTAGCCAGGGCTTTTATGTTCCACATCGGTTTAATTTCTTATGACAATGCCTTACTCTAAGTACCATTAATTTTTACTCTTCGGCCTTGACTTTGGAGTTTGTCCTACTTTTAAAAAAATCTAATTATGGCTATAACTTTTGAATTGTTGGTGCTTAGAACCTCATATTTCAAACGTATATTCTTAGAAACAAGTTCTTTTTTCATAGAAAAATTTTGGAGACTAATTTGCATTTGAGAAACTTTAACCTTTGCCATAGACTGCCATACTGGGGCGTTAGTGTTTCACAAACATATCGAGTCTTAATCCTTTTGCATGAAAATTTCTACCCACTGTATATACATGTATAAAATCAATAATGATGAGAAAATTTGATATTAAATCATGTAAAAAAAGTTAGGACATCAGAGCGATTTTGGAGCAATCTGCTGGTTTATTCAACAAATCAAATCTCTCTCTCTCTCTCTAAATTTGCAAATTCTTGTGGTATTTTAATTCAAATATTAAATTAAACCCGAATCTATAAGGACAGGTCTGAATCTGAGTCTGTATATTCTTTTAAATAAAAGTTTCTACACAGTTTGGCTAGTTTTGTATCTATATATATGCATTGCAAAATCTCATGCTTGTCCGTTCTTGAAACATCATTTAAAATTCTTTAATAAGTTTGAAAGCATCATCTAGTCATATTTTTTTACGTAAAAATTATTTTTTTTATCAGATACATAAAGCCTAAGCTTACAATGCACATGGAACTCTGATATTACTGCGGTGTTCGGATTATGATTATGTAAGCTCTTGGCAACCGTATTTTCATATTATTTAAATCGGGTTCGACATTTTGAAATTATAAGCTCCAATGGCTGCAAAGCAAACAGAGTTGACAGACGAAGGGAAAGACGATGGAGATGAGGTAAAATAAGCTTTATTTTTAACAATGTGATGATTTTAAGTTGTTTTTAATGTTTAAATTGTTGTTTTATTAGGTATATATGTATTTTATACCGCGTTTCCATTTTCTTCTTCAAAAACTTGATGAAACATGTTGCACAACATGGCACACAGTGTTCAAGTGTTTGGAAATACTCTTTCCAAATTTTTTATTCACCATCTGTATTTATAGTTTTATTCATTCTAATAGTCTTGAATTCCTGTTTTCTGTATTTTTATGCACCCTATGTGAATTTGGCTAAGCCTAAGGGGAAGTCACAGGTACTTAATAATATGTTGACGGTGCGACCGTTAGAGCGAGCGCAAACTCTTCTGTTGGTTTTGATTTAGATCGGGTTCGTCAAACCGCACGTGACATTTGGTGCGTCTAGACTCTGACGTCATACGACGTCGTATGTAAGTTGCGATATATCGAGAAAAAGCCTGAACAGTGCTGAAAGTTAATGAAGAACGTTTCGTTTTCTATTTATCTTCAAGATATATCCATTAAGTAAAGGCGAGTAAACTTTTTGTTGAACATTTGCCGTCATTCTCGCGAGAACGTAGCTAAAACAAGTGATGCATTGTGGGTCAAATTACGGCATCAAAAAAATCTATCGAATGAATGTGCAGTAGTCCGAATTTTCTCTTCGCACAGGCGTTACTTTAAGAGCTCGCTATGCGAGCGGCGCTTCGCGCCGCCTCTCTGCGCTCGCTATAATATCTTGGTTTATGAATATGTGTAGATATACTCAGTATTTGGTAAGATCCAGAGACCTATAGTAAGGTGTGCAGGCTCAATAGGCCTAATGATGTCTAGTCCACCTGTCTGTATACATATGCTTGCATTTTGAAAACAATTCTGCACCTATCGCATCTCCTGCACTAGACATCTCAGAACATTTCATAGGTTCCATTGTTTATAGTAAAAATCCTGACAGCTTGCATATTATTTGTATTTCATGATTTTAACACCTTTTAAAGTCATGCTTCAACATCCTGAAGAAAGCATAAATTGTAAAACCTTATTTAACTAGTGCCATTTAATGTAATGGCACGGAATATATTTCTAAAAATTGAAACTCAGATATATCATTTACATGCATTTTTTCTGAATCTTGTTAAAAGTTATAAGACAGTACCAGATCACATTTTATTGTGGACAGTACTTTTTAACTTTTTGACTTGGAAAGAATGCATGCTTTTCAGGAGTAATATGTTGATGGTGCAACTAATAGGGCGAGCACATATACTTACTCAGTTTTAATTTAGATTGGGCTCGTCAAACCAGACATTTGGTGTGTCTATAGGTGTAAGTTGCATTACCAAAGGGAAACCTAAAATTTGCCAACTTTAAATGAAGAACATTTTATTTACTATTTATCTGCAATATATCCTTTAAATCAAATCAAGTTTATTTTTTGTTTAATTAACTTTTGTTGTTATTCTTGCAAGAACATAGCTTAAGAAGCAATATGCATTGTGGGTCCAGAAGTAATTGTGGAAAAAAATTGTTTATATCAATGTATGAGTCCAAATCTTCTCTTCACCCAGTAATAATTACTTTTAACAAATTAGATTTTATATCGTTTAAATTCTAGTAGATGTAAGTCTGTCATTGACAAACTTATGTCAATGATGACCATTTCTAATGAAGAATTTTATTCGCTGGAATAAGCTTATGTTAGCTCACTGCAAGCAATTTAACAAAATGAATGCTTAATATCCATGTGATTTTTTCATTTGCTTAGAAAAGAATTTTAAAGATATTATTGCTATACCAAGGATATTCCCTAACACATTTAAATACAGCTTATGAATTGTCTTTGACACATACACACTAGATTACATGAAATTTTATAAAGCAGTGAGCTCCACTTTGCACACTTTGAAGTGGTAGATTAAAAACAGAATAGAGTGGGAGGCTTGGTGATTGCCTAATTCAGTTAAACCAGTGGGTGAAATTTGTGGAAACTTACATTTAATTAAGTGTGGACTGAAATCATCTTATAAGAATAATTTTTGTCAATTCAAATGCATCACTCTTTACATGTGGAAGATCTACTTTCAAATTCATTTACTAAATTGACACTGTGCCAATGAAAATATCGATGAAAAGTAGATTAAATGTGTACACTAAAGAGAACAGGTGTTTTTTAAAAAGTAGGTCATGTTGATAGTCATAACATATCTAGATCACTAGATTGATTAATTATATGTACCTATAGAGTACAACTACGTATTTTGAAACTTTACAATATAAATTGACTCGAATGGCATCTGTAATGTAAAGAAATTGCAGATTTATAAAAAAGATACCCTTACCGAAAATATTGCCTTCCTGCAAATATTTGCTGTAAGTCTGCAGCAAACATTGCTGCAAGCTTGCAGCAGACATTGCTGCAAGCTTGCGGCAATGTAGCCAAAGAAAGCATGACAGTCTATACAAAGCCTTGGTGTTTGCAGCAAGTTAGCGGCAAGTTTGCAGCAAGCTTGCTGCAAACATTTTACCATGCAAATGAGGTTTGCTGCAAGTCTGCAGCAAACATTGGATTTTCCAAATAAGGGAACCTTGCTGCAAGTTTGCGGCAAACATTGCTGCAAGCCTGCCGCAAACATTGCTGCAAGCTTGCGGCAATTGCTGCAAGCCTGCCGCAAACATTGCAGCAAGCTTGCAGCAAACATTGCTGCTAACTTGCAGCAAACAATTTCCTTATGGTTTTGGCACATTCCTTTGTATTCACAGAAAGCCTACCTAAATATGTTAAGTCTAGAGAAAATCCACCACATGTTTCTGAAAAGATGCAGTTTTAAAGTTATGATAGGCCCTTTTACGTTCCTAGACAAAGTTTTCATACCTTTTTAAAATGAAAGTGCATGATAGCTTTTTATATGAACAGAACTTTAAGAACTTTACATATAATTTCTAATGAATATTTTTGTGATTACACATTTACTAATTAATTTTATAACATTTAACTGATTTGGGTCCATTAATACTTTTAAGAAGTATACATATGTGATATCAAAAAGAGGACTGAAATTCATAAGAAACAGATTTAGATTTGACCTAGCATTTACACCAGTTACTCAAACGTGCTTTTAAGAAATATTCTTTCAAATATAAAAATAAATCAAAATCATTTCTTACCAATTAGATATCATTGATAGAATGAACACCTACATCCAGAGTTTGGCACTTTTAATCATTCAAATCGATGCATATTCCTACCAAAATACTGAAACAAGTACAACTTCAATTCCAACATTTCAAAATGGCCAGTTTTGTGTTGACCCAGTACAATCTGCGTTTCATTGGCTGATTTGACTTGTTTACTTTCTTGCGAAAAACATTTGAATTGTGAAAAGTTTGCGAAATTAAATTGGCATGTATGTTTCTTGCAATGTTCCTGCAAACATGTTGGGTTCCTGCGAATTTGCTGCAAGCTTGAGCAATTGCTGCAATGTTTGCCGCAAGATCGCAATCATCTGCGAACAAGAAAATTTTCTTCCTGCGAACAATTTTGTTTGCTGCAAGCTTGCAGCAGACTTGCTGCAGGCCTGCAGCAAACATATCAGTTTGGTAAGGGTATATAAAGACAACGAAGTGTTTAAGGCCTTCTCTTAGACTGTTGATAGATAAATTCAAAGGTTTTGAAATCAAACAATACAATGAATCAGACATTCTTGCAAGTTAATTAAATACTGTAAAATACTGTAAAAACTGAGGGGTCAAATTTTCAAGGATTGAAAAAAAATATTGTTTTGTGAGGATTTGATTTCATTGTTGGAGAAGTGCTGTAGTAATGCATATATGGAATTTTACATTTCAAGGTGGTGATAAATTCATGGGTCTCCCCCATACCTTGAAAATTACCCCCCCCCCCCCCCCCCCAAACACACACACACAAATTAGTGATATCACTGTATACAAATATTTGTCAAGAATAATCAAATTTTATAAATAACAAGTATGATTAATAAATTAATCATTTGGATGCTAGTTCTTTGTCAGTGAGGGGATGGTATTATTATGTACATGTACTTTATGTTAATTGTTTTCAAAAGTTTTCCAGATTTAAAAAAAAAGTCTTTTGAAGTTTTCAATTACTCACAGTACAGAAGAATTAAGGAGCATTGACATTAAACTGTTAAAATAGAAAAAGTCAGGAAATTCTTCACAGCAAGATCCACAATTTGTTTGTGTGTCTGTTTTCAATTTGATGACAGTATAGCCACAAGTTAACTACAAGTAGACTAATTTATTATATTCTTTATAGAAAATGAAAATAAAAATTATGATCACCTGAATAGATGTATTTAAATTTTAAAAGCTTCCAAGTGTAAGGAGTTTCCAAGATTTGAATTCTTTAAGTCTAAAAACCTAAAATCTTGCAAGTCCAATTGCATCTTCTCTTTTACATTACAATAAGCTCACACCAGTGGAGCTACAGTCTCAGCAGAGACTTTTGGTGAGTGCATCATAATGTGAATTAATATATTTTCATTTTTAGACAGAAACTTTTTTTAAGTAGTGCATCAAAGTAGCATAATTTTATTTTGTATATAGCTAGTTAGTATTCACTTGTGTGTCGTCATGTTCTGCCAGTAGTATATCGACACAGCTCTGCATTGTCATACTGACACAAAAATCAAAACAATTGTCAATTATATTGAAATTTTCAAATGTCAGATCTAGCATCATGACAGCCACTTAGATAATGCCTTCCTGAAAATTCAAAAATAGGTCAACTTCGTGATGTGTTTTATAAATGTATCATTTGTTTCTATTTATAGGAATTTGAAGATGCAACGGAAACAATACCATTGTAGGTTGATTTTTTTTAAGGGATCTGATAATAGTTTAATCACATAATGTTTGAGTTACAATTACTAGATACTTGTACAAAGTAAATAATCATTATTTAAGTGGTGATTTTATTAGATGCTATATCTATCTCATTCTATTGCCTTATTTCTTAGGCCTGATGATTGGACGCTATCCACCATGATTGACCAGACAAGAATGGCCTTACATCTGTTCCTCAACAACAGATTCTCTGAGGCCAAAAACCGAATGGAACCATTGTGAGAATGTTTGTCATAAAAGAGAAATAAAAGCTGAATCAATTTTTATTATGAAATTAAAGTTTTGTGTCAAAAAGACAGTTGTTAGGTAAATTCTCTTCATAAATTCTTCCAAGCAAATATTTTCTACTGTATTTGTTAACCTGAAATGTGCCTTTATTTCTACTCTTTGTGTTAACAGTGCTGACAGAAGTATGTACCATGCCCTAGGTTACAGTACCATTCTGTATATACAGGCTGTTATGACATTTGATATGGTGAGTGTGATCATAGCAATACCAGTATAGTTCATTGACAAATGTTTACCATTTTATATCAACAAATTATACATTATTGGTTTGTTTTTACTTTGGCAAAGATAAAACATTATGTTCATTTTTAAAAATTTTCAGCAAGATATAGATCAAGCTATTCAAGCTTTAAAGAAAGCCATAGCTGTGTGTGATCGATATAGACACAAGTTCTCCATGCTGGAAAGTCTGTCCAAATCCAGATCTAGGGCTATTTATAATGATCTCACTGAAGGTAATACACTATACATGTATTTGTATAGCTATACTAACCATGTATAAAAAGTACAGTGCAAAGAGTTAACTACTGAATTACTTTGAAATACATGTAGTAAAGTTATGAGGATTTAAGATTTTTAAGTTTGAGAATTTTATTGCAATGTAAGGATCTTGTAATTTTTGTTTTAAATCATTTAATAAATTTTTTACATCAATAAAGCAATATTTTTTTTTCTCAGTTGATGAAATTATTATTACGTCATTCCAAGTATAGTAACTCCAAAAATTTCTTTTCTCAGAGGAAATCCATGCTGAGCTGTGTTATGCAGAATGTCTACTCCTTCGAGCTTTGCTGTCATTTGTTCAAGATGAAAATTTATTGAGCTTTGTCAAAGGAGGACTAAAAATAAGAGAATGCTATAAAATTTATAAGTAAGTTAAGCAAAAGTTACAGGTTAAACAACAGATATAATCTGTGTAAGTACATGTATAGTAAACAAAAGTTATAAGTTAAACAAAAGTTATACAATTTATAAGAACATGTACATGTAAGTATAAGTATAACCAAAAGTATAACAATAGATATGACATTTATATGTAAATTAAACGAAATTTAGGACTTTATTTCAGCAAAGTTGGCAAGTTGCACAGTAATACAATTTCCTGGCAATTTAAATATTGTTTTTGTACATCGTATAATGCTTTTAATCACCTTTTTAGAGAATGTAATAAAATGATGGAAAGGCCGAAATTCACAGAGGAGAGACAAAAGGCACATTTTGCAACAGGTGTTAAAATGGGTGTTGGAACTTTTAATCTTGTGAGTGTATACATGTATATGTGCATTGACAAACTGTGTCAGTGCATGGGACAACTTCTAAATGTGGTAAAAGTACCATTAGATTTTTATGACGAATATTACAGTATACATGTATATTTTAAAATACAATAGGACTATTCTATAATATTGATATCAAAAACTTACTATTTATAGATTATAATTATACAAACAATCGAATCATTGCATTGTAAAAACTTTGACAAAAAGGCTCTTTTTATGTTCATATATTTCACTGACTTCTATTTCCAGATGATCTCACTGTTACCTAGTAAAATTCTCAAGCTGCTTGAATTTGTTGGTTTCTCTGGAAACAAGGTAGGTACAAAGTTGATATGGTAAATGAAGGCCACAATTAGACACTTGAAAATTAGAGATTTTTATGAATAAACTTTTAGCAAAACTAAAGCATTTGCAACTCCCCTTAGTGAACATAATATGTAAATTCATCATGTTCTTTTACAGATGTATGGGTTGAAATGTTTATCTGAAGGCAGCTATGATCTTGCTAGTCTACGAGGCCCACTGTGTTCTATAATAATGATGGCATACCACACTGTTGTCTGTTATATCTTAGGTCAGTGGCTCCAAGTTAAATATGCTGATCTTTTAATATTTGTCAAATCACCTGATGTTTCTCATGGTTTTACATTACTTATCTGCTGAGGTTATGTTTTTGACATAAACATTTGAATTTACTAAAGATTATAACAACTGTAAGTCCATGAACAGACATATTCTTTTTCATCTGTTGCAACAGACAAAATGTGAATTGTGTTACACCTTTGAAAAATATGAGACTGTGATAATTAATTTTAAGAAAGACAGATCAATTGTAATACATATATAGATTTGGAGATTGTACATGTATATTTTGAAATCTTGCCTATTCTGATGAAAACTTGAAGTCACTTTCAGTTCTTTTGTTTTACATGTAAATGTTTCATAATCTGGCAAATTTCTATGGAACTACTGGTGTTAGAATTAGACTATTTTGAATGTATCATATTGCTGAAATAAAACATTAAAATTCTTCATTTGCAGGACTTGCAGATGGTGACATCAATTATGCAGCAGAATTGTTAAAACCTTGTCTGGAACAGTACCCCAAGGTATTACATACATGTACATGTATAGAGACATTTAAATCAAATTAGAAAACTTGATTTGCATCAATTTAGTTTTGATTGAATTAACAGATACAAATTTGATTTGATAATTACTTAGAGAGTGGAATTTTAGTAATTTATACCCAAACTTGACCCAGGCCTGGGGGCCATAAAACTTAGATGAGCTCACTTTTGATCTCAAAGGAATAGTGGAAAAGTGAGACAGATCAGGTGTAAGTTTTTTGTTCCCCAGACCTGGTCCCAGGATCATGAAACATCTTAAGTTTTTTTTGTTCCCCAGGCCTGGTCCCAGGATCATGAAACATCTTAAGTTTTTTTTGTTCCCCAGGCCTGGTCCCAGGATCATGAAACATCTTAAGTTTTTTTTGTTCCCCAGGCCTGGTCCCAGGATCATGAAACATCTTAAGCTTTAGTCAAAATCTTTGTATTATAATTAGATATTGTGGAGGTCAAGCAGATCAAAATAAAAATATGTTTCAATAATGATTCACCAAAGTGTTGATATTTGCAAATTTTGAGATTAATTAAATAGTTAATAAACATTTATCAGGCGATTGAAAATATGACTTAGGTCTAAGTCTGTTTCATGATCCTGGGGCCTTGTCTCTGACAAGGTGAAGGCATTATCAAACATCAAAGAAAAAAGCACAGAAAATACAGGTTGCATCAAGTTAGTTTATGATTTTTGTTGTTAACAGGGTGCACTGTTCCTGTTTTTTGCTGGAAGGATTGAGGAAGTGAGAGGGAACATTGATCAGGTGAGTGGGATACATATTTTGAAGCAATGTTCAGATGCCAAGTTTTGTTCAAGTACCTACAGAGCATTAAACCTCAAATCATGGCAAAAAAGCAATAGAAAAATAATCAAACAATTACATGTATGGTATGTAAGAATATGCACTATTGTGTTATTTCATTTTGCTTTTTTTCTGGAATTAAAGATACATATGTTTACTTGTAGGCCATTGTAAAATTTGAGGAATCCATAGAATGCCAGCAGGAATGGAGACAGTTCCATCATTTAGGTTACTGGGAACTCATGTGGTGTCACTGGTGTGTAAAAATTAATAACCAAAAAAAACCTCTTTGATATTTGATAAGCAAAAAAAAAAAAAGCTAATAGGAAATATAAAAAAATTATCATGTGATTTTATTTATACAACAGCTTCAAAGGAGACTGGTTGATGGCGATGAAATATGCAGAAAAGTTGTGTAAGGAGAGTCGTTGGAGTAAGGCGACATATACGTACCAGAAGGCGTCATTTCTCCAGATGTGTGATGACCAGACAGAGGAAACAAAGGAGCACATACAATTACTGTTCAAGTAAATACATGTATCCTGTTAGAGTAGTTTTGTTCTTGGGTCCATTTGTACTGGACATGACAAGACATGATTTGCTCTAAGACCTGCATTTATTTGAATGGATGGAATAGCATAGAGATCTTAAATCATCTGTTGTATTTTAAGTCTTGATAAACTGGATTGTTTTTTTTCTTTCTAGAAATGTTCCAAGATTAAAGCAGAGAATTGCTGGGAAATCTATACCAATAGAGAAATTTTCAGTACACAAAGTCAAAAGAATCCTTGAACACAAAGTTGACATTGTTTTGCCAGCATTGGTAAGAACTGTCAAGGCAATCATTTTAGTAAAATTACCTAACTTAGTCTGTTGTTCATTGAAATCTCACTGTCAGTGTAATGGTCTTGTTAACATTTTAGGAACTGGTTTATGTGTGGAATGGCTTCAGTATCTTAGGGAAAAAAGAAGAATTGGTAGATCCTGTATTGACTATTGTAGAGCGTACAATAAATGACATCCTGAAGGGCTCTGGTAAGTTTGGTCATATTTATATTAATCAGTAATATGGTTGTTTGCCCAACTTGTTACAAAAGGGATAGCTTTGGAGGTCGCTATGTTTACTGTTACATATGATAAAGAAAAATACATAAACATATGGTAGTTGGATTGAATTATTAAGTCAATGCATCAAAATGTAGGTGCTCTGTATAGCCATCATCTGTCCTCCTGTCCATTGGAGGATAATTAGAGGAGTCTTAACATATGAATTATATATGACAACAGATTTATGATTTCCTTTTAATCCCAACAGAAACAGATCCATTTTATCATGACAACTATTCCTTGGTCATTCTTCTGAAGGGAGCATGTTTGAAATGTAAGGGTCAATACCTACAGGCAGAACAGTGCTTCAAAGAAGTCCTGCAAAGGTAAGAAGCTTTATAACAACAAATTAGAAAACAAAACAGGATTTATTATCAGACATATTATATAGATATGGAAAATGAAAATTGTTTGCAAATGTTTCTGTATTATTGTAAGGACATGACATAGGGCTCACCATTATTTGTATATGGACTGTACCATATGCCTTTAGTTATCTCTAAGTTAATCTTCATCATTCTTCACCACTTAATTTCTTTTGGTTTCACATTGCAGGGAAAAACTGATCAAACATGACACCTACCTGGTACCCTACACTACAGTAGAACTGGCTCTGCTGAACCTGAAACTGGGTGACAAGGCACAGGCTCTGCAGTACCTAGATCAGGCAAAGTAAGATGCACTCTTTCATTCTTTTTTGCTCTTTGAACATACATAGTAGTAAATAACTATGATCCAATAGGAAAAAACTGTAGAACTTCAGTATCTCAAACTCTAATATCTCGAATACTATGGATATATCCATGTGAACTGGTAGTCCATCTGCTTATTCCTTAAGTTTTTAGCATTTTAGCAATTTTAGATACAAAGGTTTGACTGTATATTGTAATGAATTCAGAAGTCTTTAGTATGTTATGGATATTTTTATAAAGTTAACTAATACATGCATTTCAATTTTTTCTAGGAAAAATTACAAAGGCTATTTGTTAGAGTCCAGACTACACTTTAGAATCCATGCTGTCAGGCTTCAGCTGAATGGTTCCAATAATGGCAGTGTGCCAGTAGAAAATGACCTGGACTCCGATCTAGTTCTAAATGAAGAATCAAATACCACTGATGTACCAAACGACGAGGACGCTCCTTCAGTGTCCACAAAGCTATAACAGGGATAGCTGACAGTTAGATAGTATATATTGTTTGACTAGTCTTCGCTGGACCAGTGACAGTTCAGATTACTCATCTTTTAGTGTTCACTGAATTCGTCATAATAAGAGTCTTGTGTATTTTAAATTTTAAAACCATTCCCAAAGTAACTCTAAAATTAGAAACTGTGATATCTTTGTCCTTTGAGACACATTCCACTGTGATCTCCATGTTTTTGACAATGTGTTAAAGTAGAAATGAGGTGTTTTTTTATCAACTATAACCTTCGCCATAACTTTTGAACCATGAAAGATAGAGACTTCATATTTAGTATGCATACTCCACCAATGAAGTTCTTTCAAATGACACCAAAGTCAATGACCTTGTGACCTTGAATGTGACCTATTTGCTAAAAATAGCTTTTTCAAATTTTCGCCATAACTTTTGAACCATGAGAGATGGAGACTTTATATTTGATATGCATACTCCACGAATGACACTCTTTCAAATGACACCAAGGTCAATGACCTTGTGTCCTTGACTGTGACCTTTATTTAGATTGAAAACTTTCTCCATAACTTTTGAACCATGACAGATAGAGACTTCATATTTGGTGTGCATACTCCAAATGAAGAAATTTAATGACCTTGTGACCTTGACTTATCTTCTGAAAATATTTTTTTGAACTTTGTTGCATTACTAAATTTGTTTTTAGTTGTTATCATTAGAACCCCATTTATTTAACTGAAATTTTATAAAATCATCCTTAATGAAGAAATTTTGGGGAGGCCATTACTAAATTTGCATGCTAAAAATTAAGAAAAATATTCAATACTTCTCTCAACTATGTTTCTTTAATTCCTTCACTTGGTTAAAAAAATAAAAGAAAAGGTAAAAATGTGTCATTTTTATGCCCCTGTAATCAAAGATTGGTGGGTATATAGTTTTTGCCCTGCCTGTTGTTCTGTCTGTTTGTCCACAAAATTTTAACAGTGGACATATTTTTTGATTGGGTGGGGCTGTGGCTTTCGTATTTCACAGGTATATTCCTTGTGACAACACCTCTCTTTGGATACCAACAATTTTTACTTTTGAGCTTGACCTTGGAGTTTGCTTTGCATGTGAGAAACTTCAACCTTCGCCGTGAATTGCCATACGGGGGCATCAATGTTTCACTAACACATCCTGTTTTTATGTTTTTGCCTAACAATTAAGTCATGGGCTTTTATGTCCATTCTGTTGTACAAATCTTTGGACAAGGAATGGACACCCAAGTTTTTGGCGTGTGACAATGACATTAATTTAAATACATTTCTTATTTTTCTCCTCTGGAGAACTAACTGGAATTATTTTGCATCAATTGATTAAGTGAGCATAGTGGTACAAAATGTTTTTTCCCTGTATATTTAAGCTTACTGGTGCAATCTTTTTATTAGATTATAACTCTATGTTGAATCTTTGTTTCTGTGTTTTATTATTATTTTCAGAGTTTATTATGTATCTGTTTAAAATTACAATTCCATTTAAGATTTTTTACAAAGTTTGCTCAGTTGTAAGTACATGCATGTACAATGTTTGATGATCTCTGCAGCATTAGTCTTTTTGGATTTCCTTATTTAACAGCATGTAATTACTAAGATGATAAATAGTGTTAGGGTACGAGAATATTTTTTACTTGAAGCCCCCCCCCCCCCCCTTTCAAAAAAAAGTTCATGAAAATGATAATGCAAAAAATCAAATCTATTTCAAGTATAAATTGCATTGTTGAAACTTGAACAGAAATTAAATATCTGTTCTGGTGTAGACATTTATATGTTAACAAAATCAGCATTATATTAACATGTACAATTTTTACTCTTTTTTTCATTTGTTGCTGTTATATTTATTTATTCATGATATTCATTATCCTAGAGATAATCAGACTGCTGATAGCATTTTATATGAAATTGTTATTTACTTGAAACCAGATTTCTTCTTTATTTTTAAAGCTCTACTTGTCCTGAAGTCATATGAGCTTTGCCATTGGCAGTGTGTCTGGTGTTTGTATAGAATTTTTGTTTTCCACCTACCATTTGGTCCCATATCAATTAAACTCGATTCACAAATAGGCTAGTACATGAAGATATGTAATGGTATATCAGTGATTTTAAAGAATTACATGTATATTGCCTTGGTTATACAATTTGTGAATTTATAAAAAAAAAAATGCTGGTACAGTTTAGGTTTAAAAGAAGAAAACATCAAAATCAGAATTCTTTAAAATGATTGTTTGCAACTGTTTACCAAAACAAAATCTGTTAAATTTATCAAATACATTTTCTAACATTGGTCCGATTTCAATGAAACTTGGCATACAGTAAATATACATCCAAAGTACAAGCAATTTTTCTCATTTTTTGACAAGACATTTACATAAACATGATAAAGAGAATAATCTGTGATTTTTTTAAAATGCTATTTTATAATTAGTTCAGACTAGTAGAGAATCTCATCTGAGACACACAGTTCTTTATAGTAATTCAAAAATCATGAGATATATTTCAAAAATTATTAAAGACTTTTCCAAGTTTTAAATGTTGTTATACTTGACAGTCATGAATGCATACATTGGACTTGCAGGTGAAAATACTACCATTGGTTATCAGAAGTTGGGTTGTGTCTTGTAGGGGAATGAGTATTTAAGGAGCAATTAATGTAAAAGTTGGCCTGAATAGCGCAATTGCTATACCAGTTAGAGCACCTGACTGGTCCAGCCTTACATTTGTCTCCTCTCTTGTTTCATTTGATGTCATGACCATGCCTTGTGGCAACTGGTTCAATCGCCGTTGGCCAGATAAGTAGTTGGTAGAGCACCTGACTGGAGATTCTGGGGGCATATCCATTGCTATTTTCTCCTCTCCTGTTCCATTTGGTGCCATGCAATGCCATACCCTGAAGTGACAGGTGAATGAGGTGAAAGACTTGCCAGGAAAGAGCTCGAGTTGATCTATTGATTAGAAAACTGTCCTTTTTAGCTCACCTGAGCCGAAGGCTCAAGTGAGCTTTTCTGATCACATTTTGTCCGGCGTCCGTCTGTCTGCCTGTAAACTTTTCACATTTTTGACTTCTTCTCAAGAACCGCTGGGCCAATTTCAACCAAACTTGCCACAAAGCATCCTTGCGTGAAGGGGATTCAAGTTTGTTCAAATGAAGGGCAACGCCATTATTCAAGGGGAGATAATTGGGAATTATTGAAAATTTGGTTATATCTTTTAAAAATCTTCTTCTCAAGAACCACTGTGCCAGGAAAAATGAAACTTATGTGGAAACATTCTCAGGTAGTGTAGATTCAAATTTGTTCAAATCATGATCCCCAGGGGTAGGGCGGGGCCAAAATGGCCACCCAAAGTTTTACATAGAAATATATAGGAAAATTCTTTAAAAATCTTCTCCTCAAGAATGACAAAGCCATAATTTATCATATTTATATGGAAGCATCCTCAGGTAGTGTAGATTCAAATTTGTTCAAATCATGACCCCCGGGGGTATGCGGGGCCAAAATGGCCGCCCAAAGTTTTACATTGAAATATATAGGAAAATTCTTTAAAAATCTTCTCAAGATTAACAAAGCCATAATTGATCATATTTATATGGAAGCATCCTCAGGCAGTGTAGATTCAAGTTTGTTCAAATCATGACCCCCGGGGGTAGGGCGGGGCCACAAAGGCCAATCAAAGTTTTACATAGAAATATATAGGAAAATTCTGTAAAAATCTTCTTCTCAAGAATAACAAAACCATAATTGATCATATTTATTTGGAAGCATCCTCAGGTAGTGTAGATTTAAGTTTGTTCAAATCATGACCCCCGGGGGTAGGGCGGGGACACAATGGCCACCCAAAGTATTACACTGAAATATATAGGAAAATTGTTTAAAAATCTTCTTCTCAAGAATAACAAAGCCATAATTGATCATATTTATATGGAAGCATCCTCAGGTAGTGTAGATTCAAGTTTGTTCAAATCATGACCCCCGGGGGTAGGGCGGGGCCACAAAGGCCAATCAAAGTTTTACATAGAAACATATAGGAAAATTCTTTAAAAATCATCTTAGGCCATTCCAAGTTTTTTCTTTGTTTAGCGTCCACCCATCTTTGAAAAACCTACCTACCTATTCACAAAAAACACACAAGTCAAAAAAAAATAAAACACGTATTTAATCATGTTTACAGTAATAAGAATGACGTAATTTTTAGGTCACCTGAGTCACTCAGTATCTGTTTTTGTCCGTCGTCGTACGTCGTTCGTCGTCAATCGGTCGTAAACTTTTGAACATTTTCAGCTTCTTCTCTGGAACGGCTGAGCTAATTTTAACCAAATTTGGTATACAGCATCTATGGGTGAAGGGGAACAAAAATTGTGAAATTCATGGCCCCTGCCCCCCTGGGGCCTGAGGGGTGGGGCCAAAACCACCAAAATTAATGCAATCTTTGAAAATTTTCTTCTTCACTCCTGGACATCTAGCAGTCAAACTGTTGGCATGACGATAATCAGCATTGAGTCCTCCACCAAAATTATGAAATTCATGGCCCCAGGGTCAGGGGTTCTGGGGTTAGGGTGGGGCTATATAGATCATATAGTAAAAGTGCATTAATTCTTTGAAAATCTTCTTCTCTGCTCCTGGGTATTAAATAAATTAACTAAGCACATACTTATGATAAGAAAGAATGCCTCTTTCAAAATTGTGAATTTTATGGCCCCACGGTCAGGGGTTCTGGTGTTAGGGCTGGGCTCTATTGATTGTATCGTGAAAATACATTCCTGGGTATTAAATAAATTAATTAAGCACATACTTATGATAAGAAAGAATGGCTCTTTCAAAATTGTGAATTTTATGGCCCCAGGGTCAGGGTTCTGGTGTTAGGGCGGGGCTCTATTGATTGTATATAGTGAAAATACATTAATTCTTTTAAAATCTTCTCTGCTCCTTGGTATTAAATAAACTAACTAAGCACATAGTTATAATGAGCAAGAATACCTCTTTCAAAATTGTGAATTTTATGGCCCCATGGTCAGAGGTTCTGGTGCTAGGGGGGCTCTATTGATTATAGTGAAAATACGTTAAATCTAATTATAGTTATGAAAATCTTCCTTCTCAAAATTTTGAATGCCATGGTGTCTAGTTTAAATCATGAACCAAACTCAATCATTGGAAAGTTGTTGCATGATGCTCAAGTGACCTATAAGGCCCATGGGCCTCTTGTTCAAGGAAAGAAATCAAAACATCTTCAGG